GTCGGAATATTGTATGAAAGAATGCTTTGTGTGCGCTCGGCTTTTATTTTTAGTTTTTTTTATAATATTTATTCTAAGCCTCGTACAGAAAGAGTTGTTCTCGCTTTCATTCTTGTTTCATTTCCATGAATAAGATGTAACAAATTTTATTACAAGAAGTCGATAAGTGCTAAGTATATCAGATTTGCTTAAGTTTAAAGACACCTCTACCTAAAATTATTGCGGTTAAGTCATTACTAAGTTTGTAATTTAGTTCGTAATACATCTTACGAAAATCGTAAGCGGTTGTAGCTGATTTATTTTCAAATGACTTAATAATATTCAATTATTAGTATCTATTTACCCAGCTTCATGGCTTATGATTTTACGGTGGAATAGCTGTAATAGTTTGTTTATCAATATTAACATTTTCTACTTAACTTATATTGCCTATATGGTTAAAAATTTGTTGGCGTAGTTTAGTAAGGGAGTGAATTTCTTAATTTTTCTGCGTTATGTTACGCCTGAAGAAATATAACTATTTGTAGTTATTTAAGAGATTAGTTAAATTTTGAAAAGAAATGATCGAAGAATAACTCAATAAATTATTTTTACTATTGAATATTTTTTGGGATTAAAATTAGTTAAGTACCTACCATTTACATACTATTTACTTTGCGTCATAATCTCTATAAATGCTAATTTTAGTTATGTAGAATAACAAGTTCCTCAATTGGTTTACTTCTTTATTCTATAGTTTCATTTTTTTTAAACTCAGTGTCCATTTATCTCTCTCGTTTCTCCTTACAAAAGATTTAACTTAAGTATGTTACATTAGAAAATGAACGTGGGCGACCGTGTCGTGATACATCAGCCTGTCGCGCACTCCATCTACTGCAGGTTTATAGTTGGCTTTTTCTTTATCGCATAAGCAACCGATACCTTGTAAGTTTCCCATTTTCTCGGCAACTTGAAAATAATGTTTATTTCAAATATATTGTGAATCGTTTCTAATATCTGTTGTTGCATATTCGTTCTTATTGCGATTTTTAAATGACTTCAGGATGCCAAATAGAATACAGTAATAGCCGAATACCGTATTTGTGATAAGCCGGTTACCAATTGTTATAAACGTTTGGGATAAGAGTAGTGGTAGGTGTATGGTTACATTATTGTTGGTGACCCTATTATCTGTTCAAGGACATTATTTTTTATTGTGGATAAAATCCTCCATACTCGAAGACTAATTTTAAATATTAAAAATTAGTGCTTTCGTTTCCAATCTTTCTCATCACGATACGACAATTTATGACCCTTGCACACGGTACGGCATTCATTTTCAAGGTCATAACTCGGTATCGGTGCGATATTAAAATCTTTGCCACACTTTCAGTACAACGTGGTACTACAAAGTTTTTTATACAGAAACATTTAGGTAAACAAGCCACGTAAGGCTCTTAAACGTCTCTGCAATTATCTTAAATATCCATCGAATTTATTGTATATGTTACCATTAGAGTACGAAATTTCTTTAAGTGCGCATTTACTAGGTAATTTGCAAATGACCGAATATGACCGTTAAAGTATGTTTAATTTTTTTTACTTAAACTAACAGGTATCTATACTTTGCCTAGTTAATCTGCATATTAACAGATGCTCCACCATTAAATCGCGAAAGAGAGTGAACGAAACACTTTTATCTCGTTTCTCGGTGACCCCGCATTTGCATTCGCATTAATGTAAAAACTGAAACGATTTTTTCAACTTTAACAGAGTCAACCAGATAATCTGCAGATTAATAAATTAATCTGTACTCTAACTGATTTACGCACATTAGCGTTAACATATACACTTTTGACGTGCAGAATTTATAAGAGTCCTCAAAATTTATAAGAGTTGTGCTGTGACACGAAAAATTATAAAAGCGCTCTTTAACTGCAAACTTTTTCTGAATAGTTAAAAAAATCCAGCGTATTAAAAATACGAATAAAAATACATTTGCATATTTGCGAGGCGCTCCAGTTAACGCTTTTACAAACAAAACATTCATTTATATTCAATAGTCGATTACAATAGGATTAAACAAAACTTTAAATTTATAGAGAGTTTATTAATTATTGTTTGTATGTGTGTGATTTTTATTATTTATTTGTAGACCTGAGATTGTGTTTAATCCGAGAATAAAAACTTTATAATTTTAGCAAAAATGTTTATATTTAGAACAACGAGCAGGGTCTTGTTACTTTGCAATAAACCCATAAAAATAAACCACCCCTGCTACCTAGGAAACATATCATCGTGTCTCATCTTAGATATTTCACAAGATAGAAAAAGTGCGGGACTGACCCGCACAAAGGAACGCTAAACATGAAGTTAGTAAAGATTGTAAGTTAAACTCCATAAACCCTAGAGATTAAAACGAAGTTCCAGTAATCATAACTAATGCTTAACTACTATCCAAGTCTAGTAGTAGTCGATGTAGGTAAGCATAGTTAGAAATCTCACAAGTTAAACGCTAGGCATGGGATGATTTCGTTCAGGATTAATTTTGGCTTAATGTTTGTTTCAAGGTGTACTCTTTGCATAGCTGTTGTCAAAACATATATTTATATTCAAATATATAAAAATATATTTTTTAAATTTATTTCAAAGCGTTTATTTTTTTCTGTTCTATAAATATGCGAAACGCAAGCCGCCATGACATTATGTCATCGAGCAAGCAAACAACAAAGTGCCACCAAGTATAAATTATTATTTCATGTAAATTTAAAACAAAATTTAATCTGTGTATTTTGCTAAAGTATAAATTACTTTGGACTATGGTTTTTGTAAAAGCATGTGTAACAACAGGTGTACAAATGTAACAACATTAAGATCTTTCATAATAGGGAAGTTTTTGTCTACAAATGTCTATTATTTTAAAGCTTCCATGAAAGTATGTAACTAGTAATTCTTTTTGTTTTATAGTCATGGCAAATAAGCAACATTGCAGCTAAAGTTCTGATCAATTTATGGGCAAAACCTTAGAATAGAATCGTATTTAAATACCATTTATCGCTTGAATATAAAACTTGAAAAAGAATCGTTTGTAATTGTTGCCTTAGGATTAAATTAAAACACTACGAAAATGAATATTAGTAGAACTCATGTAATATGTACGGTGATTTCTGGCATTAACACTGGCAAGTGAAGGTTTATCAAAACGATTTGAAGGCAGAGAACGTACCCTTTGTAGAAATAGACAGGATTGGCTTTGTGTTGGTCGAAAATTAGCTTGCAAACTGAATCTGAGACAAATAGGATCTTTATTGAGGCTTAGTCGATCGACAGGCAATCTATCAGTCTTTACATAATGGCCTTTAGTAGGAAAGAGTTTTATGGCGAGTAAGTCGATGTTTGCAAAAGTAACGAGAAGGAATCTAGATCATTTATAATCTTATTCAAGAATTATATTTATATTTCTTTTTTCCTCATTGGTCCGTGGGCTTTAGCGTCTTTTCTTTTTTAAATACAAAATTATAGGATCATGTACATATTTAAATAGACACTTAGTATTTACACAATAAGAAATAGCGAGTACAGCCAGTTTTTTCCGATGCAGCATTTTTGGAAATAAAAACGTAATAATAGTAATAATAATAGTAATAATAATCTTTATTGCATTTAAAATTACACTCACTGTTGAGGTACAATATCACAATAGTACAAAATCTATGACACTGACGGTACTAAATGCTGTCTACCAAACTAGGCGAGGCCTGTATTTTGGATGACAATATCCAGCCGCAGGAAAATTTACATGTAAGATTACGCTAAAGTGAAATATAGGGCACTTGCAATACAGATACATAACAATAAAAATAAAATAGGTATAATAAAAACTGTGTAGCGTAAGGACGTGAAGATGTGTGTGTGAGTGTGTGTGAGTGTGTATGTGTGTGGGTGTGTGTGTGTGTGTGTGTGTGTGTTTGTGTGTGTTATCGTATGTGCGAGTCGAGTGTGAAAAACGCGAAGATACCCAGTTTATCACAAGAGAGTAGAATGAAATAAATTATTTAATTGTTTGCAGTTTACATGTAATACTAACAGATTGACGACTGGCAAAGGCGGTTTTGAAATAGACCCTAGGACATACCGACATAAATCTTCGTCGCTTTGGGTTTGGAGGGGGTACATTTCGGTGCTTTCTCAGAAAGGATTTTAGCACAAAGAGCTGTCGCACTGTTAGGACGTTGCAGTTTAAGTACAGTAAATGTGTTGGGTACCTGTAGGGTTTTTTGGTCATGACCTTTAGAACTGCTCTTTGTGCCCTCTCCAGACTGAGTAAATGGGTTTTAGCGGCTCCTCCCCAAACTGTGATACAGTAAAGAACCATGGATTCGCATAAAGCCTTGTAGACTAGTTTTATCTTGTCTATTGTAGCGGCATCTCTCAGGGTTTTAAAAATATGTATGAGACGTCGCAATCGCGTTGTCACCATAAGTATTAAGTTTGATTTCATTCTAGTTAGATTATGCTCTTGGATTAAATGAACTAGAGTAATATTTACTCGTAGTTAAAATAGAGTCTGTGGCGTCACGAACTTCTGGTTAAAAAAAATATAAGTCAATTTACATAATATGACAAATAATCTTAAAACACGATGAATACTCGATCTTAGTCAATTTTTTTTCACGTTGATTCATGTTTTGATGTAAAAGTAAACTGGTTCCATAAGCCTACAATCAGCCCCACGCTGCAGGATAGAGGTGGTTCAAATCGTATGTGTAGGCTGCTACTTTGGATGTTTGTGCGTGAAGACTTGTATTCCGATTCTCAAATCAATAGAATTAAGACTTAAAAATTAATTAAAATGATATCATGTCAAAGATTTTATTCTGATATTAATTCGAGTCACACCATTTTAGAGACAAGGGTACTAAATATAAATAAAATTGACGTTACTTTCCATACAAATAGTGTAAAATTGAGTTCCTCTGAGCTGGCCCTAAACGTGATCAGCTTAACCGTATCAAATCAAAATGACAAGCGTTGACAGGTCAGAACATTTAGGTGTCTTGCATCATCAACCGAATTTACCTCAATGTGAGTGGTTGACTCTCAACATCATAAACATTTGATAAAAGCATCTTTTGAAATCATCAGAAAATATATTCTTGTTTATTTATGTGCATAATGTAAGTACATGGGTTGGTACATAGTATGCATAGTAATCGTTTCCTGTTTCCGAAAACTGACTGTGAAGTATGTCTGTGAAGCAATAAAGAAGTAAACCGAGAAATTAATAATTAATTACTGAAGTAAAACCAGCCATAAACATAATAATCGATTAATCAAATTTAACAATAATTCAAATAATAATAATCCTAAGTTATTTAGATAAAATTGTTAACTTAGGTAATCAGTTTAATCAACACAACTCGTCAACACTTCAAAACATCACCTGTATTTTTAAAGGTTTTAATAGTAAGTTCAATAATAATGTTATTATAGGCATTTTAAGTTAAATTTGTCTCAGACTAGAAATAAAGGTCATAATCTTAATTATTCGATGTATCGATTAAGGCGACTTCTATTTTCCTTTTTTTTTGGCCTTTATGCTTTAATTACGTACATAAGCATTGTTATTTACTACATTTACTAAGTTTACCTTATAGTGACATATATTAAAGCTTAATATTGGGCTGATATACTTAAAGCATATCATGGAATGACCGCTTCCTATCTTAGATATAGCATTCTATTCTGGGGAAACTCGACAAATAAAGATATTATTTTTAAATCTTAAAAGCAATGCATTAGAGCAATGTTGAAATTAAAATCTACAGATAGTTGCGTACTATATTTTAAAAAGTGTAAAATTATGAAATTTCTCTCTTTACTCTCTTTTACTCTTTACATTATGAAATTTTATATTTTTTTAAATATGGTATCATGATGGTCAAGATGGCCATCCATCTTTATACATCTTTGAAACAGCAGTTTCAAGTCGAACCCGGAACTATTCGAAACGTTAGCTGATACGGTGATTCGCAATAGAAGAACACACACCAGTAATAGGATCCGAATACGAAAAGCAAATACAACATTAATGCACAGAAGTATATTCTGTTTGGCACCTGTCATCTAAAATAAGATACCCGATCACATTAGAAATCTAGACATAGCTCTGTTTAAAAAACGTCTACAGGAATACCTAACTGAAGGATGTTACTATGATGTAAGAGAATTTTTAGATGGTAAATAGGAATAATGAAGTAATTAACTGACATGAATCAATTTACATATTACTGACATAATTTTAACGATATTTCTATTAGCGAATTCTATTTTTTATTTGACATTGTAATTCCTTCATTGTCATCTTAGTTCTAAAATTTTATACATAATTTATAAGATTAAGACATTGATTTCGCATGTTTTAAATTCCAAGGTATGAAAAATCAAAGTGACATTTTTATTGCTTTAATTTCGATAATTCAATTTGTATTGTATTGTTCTATTTGCATGTCTTAAATTTAGTCACTAAATAACATTTTAAGTTACTGTAAGTCTAAATGGCAGACCATAGATTATCATTCCACTACTGTTAACAGCCAAAGTATACCTTTTTTTTCTTTTTTTTTTTTTCGTGCGATGTTTCACAATAAAGATTGATTGATTAATTGAGAGAATACTGACATTTACTAAAATTTAGGAACGTGTTTAAATGTAATGAAATTTATTCTAGACCTTACGAAATGTATTGTTAAATAAACGACATTAAAGAAAATCCCTGATAGTTGCATGGTAATGATAAATAAAGAAAGGTTGTATAGATTATAATTGTGTATCTAAAGTATTGGATATGATTTTGATAATGTTTTATAAAATGAAAGTATGACTACTTTAACACAGAAAAGAACTAGGCAAACAAGAAGACAGATAGACAGATAAGCAGACAGTCCTATAAGACTTAGATACTTTTTGAGGAATGGAACCCTAAAAATATAAGAATAATTATACCTAAACTCACATCCATAAGCGGATATTGTGGCAGCTTCATCAGAACCACCGTGCGAATTCGAAATTTATAAATAAGCTTGAGGTGATGGAGTGACGTACATCTTCTTTATAAAATGTCAATGGCAGGGTGCAGCGTCTTGGAATGAGCAGAACTAAAACTGTCAACTCAACTTTTAATGAAATAACGGACTTAATCGCTAATCTTGCAAGCTGTCACAGCCACTCGTTAAAAATTATCTGAAATTATTAGAGTTACCATTTCATTCTTTTCTTTACCGTTTCGAATATTATTTCATTTAGACTATAACTTTGTTTTAGAAATAGAATATCATCTTGCGAATAGAATAGAGGAAATGCTTTACGAAGATAAGAAGTTAGTTTTCAAAAAATCATATTTATTAGCGAAATAGTCATAAAATATCATCATCTGTTTTGTCAATTTTTTTTGGTGAACAATAGATATTAGTTACTTAATAATAAGTTAACAATCTTTAGAAGCAAAAACCATAAACTATATATATACCTAATAAAACAGGCTATACTAGTCAAAGTGTTTGGATTAGAAGCTTTCAAAAGATTAACTGGACCAGACCTCCGTCGGAACGTTTCGTTAAAAGTTTCTCCGCGACTCAAAGCCGTAATTACATTTATAACAAAAATCATTTCGTGACTCAATTAAAAGGTTACGTGTTATGCGTAATTCATTTAAATGTGCGGATTAATTATGACACTGATGTACGTCATTTCCTATGTTACTTTGTCGAAAACCCTTACACATCTCACTTAAAGCGGAGCGCGACTCTACAGTACGATGCGCGCCAATATTCGTTCTGTGAAATTAATTTGAAAGCACTGATTGAGTTACCGCGGGGTCGATGAATTGTTATTTCCCTTAAAATTTATGATTAATGTGATTCATCCCTAATTATAACTTTTGTTTGTTTCAGATATTACGACGGGAAGCAACAGCTAACCTTACACATTAATTAATTAATTAGTAGTATAATACAATCGAACAAACGACGAAGCGCCTTCAATCGATATTTTAATTACTCGTTAGTTAGCTTTTTCAATATAGAAGATAGCGTACACAAGTGCCAAACGTCCGAGACGCGTGGGTGTCGCGCGTCCGACGTCCGTATCGCGTGTAGCCTGGTGGCGTATCGTGGGTCGTGTCACGATCGATGCGTGCGTGTGGTGTTGCTCTCGACAACCGCCAGAAGGCGTGAGTAAGTCGCGCGCGTGTGCGCGTCGGATCAGCAAGATTGAGGTGGTGGCCGGGTGCGGTTGGGGCAGGCGCGCGCGCGTGCGCCCGTTGCACGCGCTGGGCCGCGCGGCCGGTATGTTGGCTTCGCAGCGCTCGCAGTCCTGCAACGAAGAGGGTGCGTTCTTCGGGGCGCGTGCGCTGCGCCGGCCGCGCGGCAAGGGCAGCGGAAGTCCCACTTGCTAGGGGTACGCCATGTCGCTGCGCAGCCTACACCGGCGGCTCTCCTCCGCCAATAACACGTAAGTTAAACTCTGTTCAACACAAACTCTAATTTTAAGACAACATTAATGTAAGCCACATATCTCAAAAATATGGCAAGCCATTCATATTTATTGAAATTTGAAAGACGATCGAGCCTACTCTAGCGGCAAGTCATCAAAATGTCGAACGTGCGACCATTGGGATGTGAATATTCAATTACTAAACCTAAATCCGAAGCGCACTGCCATGAATCCGACGAGAGCAAGCAAAAATAGACCTTAATACCTTAAGATCTGATTGATTATTGCTTCAATTTTCAATTTCCGCTCGTTATTACCTCGGGCGAGCACAATTAGAGATCATTCATTTTGCAAAATTTTGCAAATGTAGGAATTCATGTCCTCAGGTGACGTATTGATTTTTTTCTCTCATTTTGTGCAACTTGCAGGATGTTTAGGTAATTATGGATATTGTTACCAAAATATGTTCAAACGAGCAAAAATCATTTTGATTGACGCAGCAATGGGTTCGTTGATGTCTTGACAGGTCAGAATTCTGGGTCGGACGTATGTTGGCTGGAATTGACGGCGTACAATTATTGGCATGCAAGCACTACTCACATTCAATGGACTTGCATTCATCATTGATGCGTCCGAACCTAGATATCGTACTTATTATAATTTTTCGGTTGTAATAAAAGTTCAATCTAAATTTGTTGTTTGTGTTGTATGAAAGGAAAGTGGTACTGCTTTCCACTAAGTGAAATATTTGCATTACATTTCCAAACGAACTAGTTGATGTATGCACAGCCTTTATTAAATCGGTTTGCATAGTTAATCATATTTGAACAATGAACAGTAAGGAACAGCAAACGGTAATTAATCATGATATTATATGTACGACACGAAAAATGTATATAAATTGCAATTTTTCAAAAAGATTTTCGGCAAGAACGTTAATATAATTAAAATAATTAAAAAACAGTATTAATTAAAAAAAAAAAAAAATGTTTTCAACTTAGAAAAAAAGCATCAACGACTTCAATGTGCCCCGTCATGATGTATTTTCATCATCATTATCATCAACAGCTTTAATAGCCAACTGCTGGACATAGGAAAAGAGGGTTTTCCACGCTGACCAGAGAGACGTATTTTAAGGAATTGTATTCTTCATTACTTAAGTTTCCATCCTTGGGGTAGTAACTTTTCTACAAATTTCAAGGACTCGGGATACATACTCTCTTAAATAAAAAACGCTTTTTTTTCGGATTGGTTAATACAGAATGCGTTATAAACACTGTTGTTTTCAGTTAATAATTTGATAATTAACAATCTACTTTTTGATTTCATACAGACATGAAATACTAGTAGGGTAGTTCATGAATCGATTATAGGATCGAATGAGTAACCTTGCCAGCGTCATCCGGTCAAGGTTTGTTCTGTGGTACTTTCGTAACAGACTTTAAAACACATTTGAAAATGAGTTGCCCGATTCGTTTCTTTTGTTTAATAAACTAGCTGATCCTGCAAACGTTGTTTTGCTATTTACATTATTAAAAGAATTTTTTTTTTTGAATTTCTTAAAATCCGTTCTTAGCTGACCTCTACTCGGTGAAAAGAATATTCCTACCAAATTTCAAGTCTTTAGCTCTAATGGTGCCAGAGATATCGTGATGAGTGACTATATACGTGGAAATCTCTTATATATATATATAGATTAAGTATTATACAGTTTTACTCACGTGTACATGGCCTTTTTTAGAAGTGAAAGGCCTAACGCTTAAAGTGTGAATAAGCTTTATAGGGTGCTTCGAAGAAAATGAAAAAACGATTTTTTTTTTAAATAAAGAGTAGTTTCCACTATTTTCATAATATATCTTCTAAACTTGTTGATTTAGACCTGTGGGCCCATTGGTTAGCGAACTGTGTGTTGTGTTTTGAGGACGATAATTATTTTGCTCTGTCTCTGGGTGTGATATCTCTATACTTCCAAACTTAAATTATAAATGTCAAAGTGAGTGTGTTTGTTTGTTACACTTTATATATATAAGTATAATGTATAAGGATGTTTATTTAGAAATGTATGTGCTCGGAAGACGGCAATAGGATTGCCACTTATTTAACCTTGCCACATAAGTGGGACTAAAAATTATAGTTGCCAATATGTGGGCGTTTTAATACGGTTCTGTCTACCCCTTAGGGGACAAAAACGTGAATATAAGTTTAGTAAATGAAATCCGTTTCACTAAGCTGAATGTGTTTAAGTCCATAAAACTCCCTTGCATACGCTATTGGTAAAATATATAAAGTCCTATAAAACGACGGAATTCTCTTACCTGAGTAAATCATTGTTTCTTTTTATGAGTAATCCGAAGAAAATATTGATTAGGTTTATGTATTGGCTTTGATGTTATGGAGATGTTTGTGGTTTTACTTTATATCTGTTTTTTTATTAGAAATATCGTAAGGTACTCATTGCTTTAGAGATTTTTGTTGTTAATACAGTCTTCATTGATTGTAGATTATATCTAGATATGTATGTATTATTATTAGTTATTAATTAAGCACTTAAGGAGTAAGGGCTCACTCTTGCAGTTTCATGCTAGTATAATCTGTTTTCATCTATAACTGTTTGCAACATCAGTGGTAGAAAAAGTCGTGCAACGGTAGAAAAGTGTCGCATCATCAAGAAGGCTCTATTCTGTTTTTGTATTTGGACTCATTTTCCTTCTAAAAGTTAAATGACAAGGAGTTCTACCTAAGAAACCAAGTTTCTTTGAGATTGTTGAATTTTGTAAAAAAATATTTTCATTGAAAACAATGTATATTAGCGCCGTGTTGTATGGAGGTATGAAATAACATAAATTTTAGTTCCACGTTCAGTGATGACTTGACAATTTGACCAGTTGTGCATTTTGTATGCACAACTGGTCAAATTGTTTTTTTAAAGTATTTTTTTCGATCTGAATCCATGAATACAGAAGAATATGTTATAAGTGATTTACAAAAACCTTTGAAGTTATCACATTTGACGCAGTTCGCCAGTTTATAAGCAATATATCATAGCTTATAAACTGGCGAATAAAATTATTTCAAAATACTGTACACCTAGTTGCTCTCAAGATATCGGATATTGCACTTAGAGTTAGCTTTAACTCGTAGATGTACTTACTACACGAGAATGTAACGTAGACAGAAACTTCGTAGAATTTCGTAGCTAGGATTTCTGTCCAGTCTACAGCACTTGAGAAATTTTAACACGTAATTGTAACTTTATGACTTCGCCCTCACGGTTGTTATTTGAACCGTAGATTTAGCTGCTGCTTAGGCCACTGGCCAATGTACAAGAGTCACACCGCAAAGTGAATTCCGAACCGCGTAGAATGTATTTCCGTCCTTTGACTACATAGCGACGGTGTTGTTCACGATAGAAGTGATATTATTAAACCTACTTAGCGGTAATTACACTACGTGTTTGAGGTTTTCTATAACTGGACCAGTCGGTTGGCTCATATTCTAAAGGCTTTTTAATACTACTTTCCAAACTTATTGCTATTTCTTACTGCAAGAATCTATCATATCTGAGAATTAGGTAAGCCTGAGATTATAACCACCTCAATGTCTTCTTAATTTAAAAAAAACAGAGTCTCCAAACAAAGTATATTGTGCAAGCACTAGAACAATTGTAGAATGGTAAAATCTCTCCTGAGACTTAAAGGTTCAATAACGATCGTAAGTTACGTATTCTGGAACACTCCAGCGGCGGGTGAATCGATAGATATATTGTTGAAATCGGTTATGCCGAAGTATTAGATAGTGACGTAATAAGTACAGTCGGGCACATAAGTTTATTACATCCAAAACAAAAGACTATTGGCCTGGGGTTGGTCATAATAAAGATACACGTTTGCGATTTGGACACTGTTGTTGTTGTTACAAACGTGAACAGATTCTACTGTATGACGGATGGTGTTGGGAGGAAAGCCATTTGTATGCGTATATGGAACACTACCGTACCACACATACTACAAGGTTAGTATTCAATACACAATAAGTTATTCATGTAGCTGTGGTACTTCTTTCTTCATTCGTGCCATTTATAATCATTACAATCTATTCTAGGTCTTATTTTGATTTCTGAAAATAAACGAATTCAATATTGCTGCGACAGCTATGGCAACGTTCTATACAGTTAAGCATGATCTACATTTAACACAATATAAAGTGCACACCCAGTACCACTGTACCTACATGTTAATATCCCCTATTTATAGAACTCGTGAACCTTAACTACAACTAACGCATTTTTCATCTTGTGCAGTTCAACTTTTTCCTTTTTCATGGCATAGCGTGCATAGAGGGGTCATTTGCTAGTAAGGGACTGCCGCCAACCACAGACTGATTCATCATCATCCTCATCGGCCTATAGCAGACCACTGGTGACCTAGGTCTCTTCTAATAGGACTGCTTAAACTTTCGGTAATCTCAATTACTCTGTGAAAATAATATAATATACCTCACACATCTCATACACAGCTGTCTGATCCCAAACTAGTCAGAGCTTATGCTATGGTAACCAGACTGCTGATAAACATACTTATATTTTGTAAATACATACATATTAAAGATAAATTACACTCAGACACAGAATAAATGACGGAGTTCATCACACAATATTTGTCCTGGGTGGGAATCGAACCAACAACCTCCGGCTTAGCAGTAAGGGTCACTAACCTAATGGTTAGTGACTTAGCTTTTAGCTCCGACAGGCCTGTCGGAAACAGCAAATGCTACGAAAGAATTGCCTTATACCGATTTTCTGTGAGAATGTGGCATGACTCCGGTCGAGACGACCTCTTTGTGGCGAAGCATGGCTCTCCCATGATAAGATAAAGCTGGTTTTATTTTATATTCTGTCGACATCTATTTATAAACACTTTGTTAGTTAAAAACATAACCTCGAGAAGATAGATTTGACTAAAC